CTCATCCATGGGGAGGAAATTTTCTGGGTAGATGAAAGTCTACTATTGTGCTTGACATTTTGACCTAAGATGCCTCAGTGCCCTTCAGATTAGCCATACTTTGTTAGGAGGTGCCAACACGTCCAGAGCTACAGATGAGATGAACGTTTCAGAGTTTGCAGGCTCCCTTTTTTTGGCACACCTGTGTGCATGCTGTACCAATATCGTCTCTGTCGACAGATTTGGGTTGTAATAACCTATATGTTCAAGTGAAAACAATTTAGGATCATCAAGTTCATTATTTATTAATCAAAGTGAAGACTGACGAGCACTGTTTTACCTAAATGAGCTGTTGTGGCCTCAGACCACTGGAAGGAGCCTCAGATCTTCAGAGCAGGGACTTCTGGCTACTCGAGGTCAAGGTTGAAAGCTATAGGTTGTACTTTTGCTTTTGTTGCTTCTTGACCCTGAAACAACCTCCCACATCAGTGCACATCTTTAAACAGCATCTGAAAACCCATTAGTTTTAGGCTTTTTCTTGATTCTATAACTTTTACATTTTTTTTTTCTTCCTGTAAAGCACTTTGTCCCCCTCTTTTTTTGAGAAGTGACACATAACTTAAGTTTGCGTGCTCGCTCTCACCTGGCTCTCTGAAGGCAGATGTATGTCATCATATGGCCCGGTGATGGCGCTGGGGAATTTGCTGAAGATGATCGGTTCTTTGGGGATCGGGGCGTTCTGCTCCAGGCAGTGGTCCCTGTAGTTCAAACCCACACACCACCTTCTCCGGTGCCAACACGGGTGACAGCAGCTGGATGTCCGATCGCTCCACCACACACTGACTGCGACAAGGCTCTGAAGGAGGAAGAGGTTAGCGATGAAGTTGACTGAAGAGAAGAAGATGTGTTGAGGAAGATATAAACAAAGAGGATGATGGGAATGGGTGCTCATCTAAAAGTCCATTCAGGAAGATGATCATTAAGAAAGGAAAAAGGAACAAGATGATTTAGTTGAGTGAGAAAGGATTATGAAGGTGATTTAACAAGCAAAAAGGTTGATGTAAAAAGGTGTCATGATTCAAGATGATCAAGACGATCATTTAGGAAGATGAAAGATTACACAAGAAGGTTGTTGATTTTAGATTACATTTATTATGGGAAAAGATGATAATTTAAGAGGATTATGGAAACCTTGAAGATGATTTATTCAGGAGATCAAGTTGAGGAAAAAGAGGAAGACATGCTAAATTGGGGAAGATGACCGATGAGGATAAAGAAGGAGGAACTACTGTAGAATCTAAACAGGACGAAGATATGTACTAAAAATATAACTGGATGTGTTTGATACCTCTGTGCACACTCCAGACCCTTGTCTCCCAGCTCCAGCAGCTCTCTCATTGTTGAGGGCATGGTGGGGTCATACGCCTTCAAATCCACCACGCCGAGCCCCTCGCCTTGCTCCACTCCCACTCTGATGCCACCTCCATGGCGATGAAACTGCACCAGGCGCATCGCTGCACTGCTCAGGCCTCGCCGCCTCTGCAGGTTTGTGGTTGGCCTTTGAGAGAGTAAACTCCTGAATATGCGAAAGGAGCGAAAAGGGAGTCTCATCTGTGGAGGACAAAAGAAGTGAAATGTGAGAAGAGGAAGGAAAACAAGATGACTGGTGACAGACAAGAGAAAAGGGAAATCTAACAAGACAAGTATTTCTTTCTAAATATAAGACTCTCTGAGAAATAGGCCTTTTGTGTACATTTTGTGTACATTGTACGTTAAATCTTTGAGTTCAGCTCATGATGAATGGGGGCAAAAACAAGTACTGCATTTATTATTTTTTTCAGTGTAGATTGCAGCAGCTACACAAATCAAAACCCACATTTATTAATATTTTTTACAGTTAATAATTTGTCTGCTAGATGTGATAAAATGGTACCCATTAAAGTTTCCTAAAGGTCAAGGGGACAGCTTCAGACCACAAGTTTTGTCCAACAAAAGTCCCAAACCCCAAGATAGTAAATGAAAAAGTGCAAAGCAGCAAATCCTCACATTTAAGATGCTGGAGCCCTGAGAAGTTTTGGCATTTTTCTTTGATAAATCAGTAATCAATCATCAAAAAAAAGATAACCGTTACGTCGACTAATCAATTTATGGACATAGTTTCAGACCTTGTCCTGCTGTGAAATGACAAAACCTCATCATGTCTTTGTACCAAACTGGCCTTTCTTTTGCGAGAGGCTGGTGAAAATTTGCTTATAATGCAAAGAAAAGTGTAATTCTGGTATTTTCTTCTATTGAAAAAAAAATGCTTGTTTGTTAAATTTTCTCAAATTTCCCAAGCTTCCCTATGAAATCTATCAAGTTATCTGACTGTTACTGTCCAAAGCAAAAGTCTTAAACTCTTAAATACTTCAGTGAGAACAAAATGTCGAAAGGAGGAAAGTACACGTTATGTCTCACACAAGGTACAATGATCATTGCCTGCTAACACTTCATAATTGAGGTGTAAATCATAACCAGGATAAGAAAAGCAAGACAGCTGCAGCAGCGTAGCATCTGCCTACCTGCAGCTCGATCTGTAGCTTTGAAGTTTAGCTTTTATCTTAGATAAAATGCCATTTTAAGGAGAAACGTGACACCGTAACCTGCTACCGAATAACCAGGACAGCTACTACGTATTTGTCGCCCTTTGTACTAGTTTTAGTCAATACGAACCTCCACTGCTCTGCACAGAAAACATTACCTATAACTACTTCCGGTAAGAGTTTGTAGTCCATGAGGTCAGCCTTGTCCATGAGGTCATGAGGTCAGCCTTGTCAAAAGCGAGATAAAATGCTCAAACGAAGCTAACGACTGAGTGTAGCCATGCTTATGTTATCATACCAAGCTATAATTGCTACATTGGTCATAATCAACTTAATGCTGCTTTTCGCGTTTATTGAATCAGTCCTGGAAACTACAAATCCCTACTGTATCCGTGAATGTGTCTTTAGGTACAGTGGGAATTTAGCAACTTTCGCGGACAAATGTAATTTGCCCTGTCTCTTTTTAAAAAAAAACACTCCTAAACTTTAACAGCTTAAACTGGAACCAAACGGTAACTAGTTCATATCAGTTGACATAATTACCAACTGACATTATAATACCACTAAACGCTACTAAAGATAAGCAGCATTTTACGACTCGGATGGTCGTAATTACGAGCTACGAGAAGTCCGCGAAGGCAGCACGAGTGCAAGTTCATGGTGATCACGTGACCAACCAGCGCACTGAAGGGAAGGAACCGTAGTCACCGGGTATCAGCTGACTCTTTCATCCTGAAGACACTGGAGGAGGAGGACGACGACGACCAACATGTGCACCAGGTGAGATTAACGGATTAACCTGCCTGGTTTGCGTTTTGATTCAACGGTTTTCTAACGTGCAGCTGTCCCCCGCGTGCTCTTTGTTCACGAAACAATCAGCTGAGCAAATGTTTTGTGGAATGTGACACTTTTCCCCTCCCCAGCGATATAATGTTTCTCTCAGTTGGTTTAATTTAGTAACTTAATGTATCTGTGATAGTTTGGTTATTCATTCACACCTCATAAATCTGACCCTCTCATGTTTCAAGAGAGGTTTGATATTTTCCGGGTTCAGGTTCCACTTAATGTTCCCGTCATCATTTTTGCTTAAGTTTTACTTTCAGGCTAAGTTACACTTCTCTATACTCTATGGAAGTGTCATATGATGCCAGAAATCTCTGACAAGTGTAAAACTGGTAACATAATCTGAAGTTAACAGTAATATAGCCTCATCATTAGATGGAAACTGTGGCGATTGCTTCCTATAAAGTGCACACTTGGTACAAAGTTTTGATTTCACTGCAGTGAGACATGAAATGAACCTGTCTCATGTTTTTAACAGCTGACATTAAAGCAGATCTCAAAGGTCTTGCAGGTTTCCACACTTTGACCCACACTGTTATCATTAACCTCTATTATAAAACCTGACACAGGAGTCTTAATTGCATCACTCTGAGATATCTTATCCGTGTCAGACAAAGCTGGAAATAACTCCATTATCTGTGTGTTTCTCTGCCCAGCGTCCAGCCTGTTGAATGGACCACTGACCTCAAGAACCAGAAGTGAGTATTGGGAAGAAATGCTTTGTCTCTAGCTGGGTGTTGGGGAGTTATTTTGTGCACCTTAACAGACTGAAGCTGCGTTAGATGATAGTGATGTCTTTTCTTCTTAGTTTTGATGGCGTCGTGTTGGTGACCCAGAGCCACGACACGCTGCCCTCGGAGCTCGAGAGTCTGAAAGCTCCACTGCAGGACTACAGCTCTGTAAGCCTCTGTTCATCTACCACCTGCAGCCAGTCTTTCACAAACCATAAAAACATCTGGTTTTCTCACCTGATCTTTCTTTGTCTCTTTCACACCATACAGATTGCTGCGAGTAGCCTAATGGGTGGGACTGTAAAAAAACAATACATTTTAGCAGGACTTTTATTTTTGATTTTGGCTTCCAACGATTATGAAATAATAATAATAAATTTATAAACAATCATGTCGTATTTCTGTCACACTGATGCCCCCGTGTTGTTTTTCTGTTAGAAATCCAGCACACTCCTTTCCTTTCTCCCACCCCTCCTTTGGCCTCTGCGAAAGGGTGTGGCATGTGTATTCAGCTTGAGCCAGGGTGTAGACCTGCTATAACCTGTTGGTCAACATTATTAGCTTAAGCCTACAGCACTTTACACTGCATAAATATGTATCAGCTAGTGGACCTTTAGCTTAAATTATTTTTTTTTTTATATTTTTCTTACACCCAAGTCACTGCATCTCCCTACAGAACACTACAGTTGAATTTTAGCATTATGTTGTCATCCTATTGCCTCTAAGATACGTTTTGAAGTTAGTGATGTTAGATTCCTATTTCTTATTTCACGGGGTAATGCATATGTAATTTTAAAAATCATTTCATTTTGAAAGTTCAATAAATGTGTGCAAGTCAATAAGTAATCCTGTTAAATAATTGTGATCTCAATATTGGCCAAAATAATCGTGCCTTTTCTTAGTTAAAATTAAAATACATTTGCAGGAAATGTTGTCGGACTGTAGTGATTCATCATAAATGGTTCGGTTAGGGTTACATGATGCGTAAAACATCTACATTGTCAAGTTATTACAGGTCGCACAAAAAGAGCTATTTTCAGTCAAAAAAGCAGTGTGTGTGCGCGATAGGAGCTTAAATTAAGTCAAAGTGCTTTTATATTTATGCAATATGGATGGGGATCAATCAGATGTGACTCCGTCAACACTTGAGACAGTTAACAGGGTCAGAAAGCAGGAAATATAATTTATGCTGCATTAATATAATATATAATTTCCTTTCTCAGACATTCCTGTTTATATGCAGGGGGAATTAGTGAATAATTTCACCTCTTCAGGCCTGGGTTGGCCGTATGCTGTACCACCAATGACAACAGGTCTAAAGCAGACACTGCTTCATTTAAAGGGATTGTTATCAAAAGGATTGGGCACCAGGTCACTGAAGGATCTGACGGCATCAGCCTTCCTGCTAACACTGTACACAAAGATGGAGGGTGACGTTTTTATTCTCTCTAGATGGTGTTATGTGTTCTTTAGTGATAATGTTTCCTGGTGTCACACTTCCCTTTCTGCTCTCCCTGTAGGTGGACAGCGGTCTCGGGGAGGAGGTGGTGGTCCTGAAGGTCCCTGGTCTTCCTGGTAACCGCCTTGTGTTTGCCTCCACCGGCCCAGTAAACCGCGACTACGATGACATCAGGCGTTTCAACGATGCAGCAGTCAACGGCATCAAAAGGTCAGTTCATGGAAGCTGACCCCCCACCCCAGTGTCTCATGTTTGTGGTTTACCTCCAGGTTTCTTTGCTGTCTTGCTCATCTGTGTCCTTTTCAGGGCCTTGAAAGCAGGCATGCAGCGCCCCCTGCTGGTCTGCCCTCCACATAAGGACTATAAGAACAACACTCTGGTGGCTGCGCTCGGCGCCCTTCATGCTCTCTACATGGTGAGGGAAGACACTCTTTTCACACTCAGCGTGTCCTGGATGCTCCAACTGCAAGTGGACAGTTTTAAAAGGAAACTCCACTAACTAAAGTTTAGTGTGAAGTACTGCTTAGCTAATAGATGTGGCGTGTGGTGTGGAAGATCGGCCTTGTAATGCCTTGTGTGAACTCTAGTCTGTCTTAGCTGTATCTCCGTGTATCCAGATTTAGATGCAAACTTTTAAAAGAAAATGTATATGCCTCCCTCCTTAAAAGCCCCTGGAAGTGCGGGAGGTGAACCTAAAGCCCACCGACTTCAAGGTGTGTGTTCTGGGTCTGTGGGCAGCGCAGGAGGCGGAGGGAAAGAGACTGGTGGAGCTAGCCAATGCTCTGGAGAGCGGGAGGTGGGTCAACTTCTTCACGTCATCCCCTGTTAAGATTTCCTCAGGTTGTGTTGTTCACTTGTTCACCATCCCTCGTCCTGTTTCCCGTCCTCAGACTGGCATGTCGTGACATTGGAGGCTCGGACCCTGAACGTATGGCTTCTCCCCGTGTGGCTGATTACGTCCAGGAGCTCTTCAAGGACAGCCCTGTGCAGGTAGAGAGCAATATTAATACCACGTGTGCAAACAGCATAGCATGATGGTCTTATTTATTGTGATTGTTAGGAGATGGTGATCTGTCATCTAAGAATCTGGAAAATGTTTACAAACAATATTAGTCACAGTTAAGGACAGTTGTTTGGCTCTTCAATGGCCCCAAACAAAAGAACGTGTGTTTGTTAACCTCCTAGGTCGAAGTGGTGAGCGACCTGAAGGTTCTGGAGAAAGAGTACCCCTGTCTAGCTGCAGTCAACCGCTGTGCCAACAGTAGGAGAACATTTTGTTTTTATGACTTAATAAGTGTTTAAATGTTGTTTTTTTTAAAATACGTTTGGACACATAATATTCATGGTTTCCTCCTACATACAGGTGTACCTCGTCACCAGGCCAGAGTGATCAAGCTGCAGTACTGTGGAGAGGGGCCGGTCCAAACGACGCTCATGTTGGTGGGAAAGGTGACAGACTCTCAGACTTCAGTCCACTAAAACAATAAAGACAAACTCCGAACATAATAAGTCATGTACTAACCAAAGTCTTCATTTTTAAAGCGTTACACATTTCAGAAAAAAACATGATGTAACGGCTCCAAAATATTCATTAAATGTTTGCTAAACATCACCAGACATTCAACCACGGCATTATAAAAGAGAAATGTATACCATACTACAATAAAATATAATATTGAATTAAAATATTTAATTTAAAAATGATGTATGAGGTAAATATTTGACTCCTGGATCTGAGGTGCATCTGTTAGATTGAAAACGCTTGAGTTATGTGGCACAAGCTACAGAATACGTGAATTAGGCTTTTGTTCTTATTGTTTTTGGAGCTGTAAATGGTTTTATCAATCTAAAGTTTGGTGAAAGGCTGATATGGAACGGTTGTAGTCAACGTGCTGCATGTTTGGTGATCTGACAAATGTGACTCTGCAAATATTATCTGTTGTTAGAGACCCGGTTCGATTCCCACTGTGGCACATCCACCAATGTGTCCCTGAGCAAGACACTTGACCCCTAGTAGTTTAGTCCGTTCTTACAACATTTAGTGGTTCCAGCTTCTAAAATGTGAAGATTGTTTTACATGATAGCAAATTTATTTTGTTTTTGACTGTTGGTAGGTAAAACTAGACGTTTAAAGAAGTCTCCTTGGGAAATGGAAAATTAATAATAGAGCAGATAATGAAAATTGTGGCCCATCTATTAATCAGGGAAAGGAAGGTTGGTTTTATTTGGTTCAGTATTGGCCACACATTCAATTGTATTATCTGCATGTGACTGACTACTTATTAAACCGGGTTGGTTCTTCTGTGATGTTTCCAGGGCATCACATACGACACTGGCGGAGCAGACATCAAGGCTGGTGGTTTCATGGCTGGGATGCACAGAGACAAGTGTGGAGCTGCTGCTGTGGCCGGCTTCTTCCAGGTGAACCTGAATAATGAACTTTGCTTTTACTGCGAGTCCACACCTCAGGACTTGAACTTAAAAGTCAGCACTTGTGACAGACATGGAAACTACTGAGTCATGGTTAACAAAAGGTGTAGTGAATGCAAAGAGATGAATATTTTCCTCCATACATGTCTTTATTAAGCCTCCAGATGAAAGTTGGGGCCATTTGTCAAACTTGCTCATCCCATGAGTTAATTAACATGAACAGTGAAACCGGGAGTTTGATTGATTTGTTTATAGTTTGCAGCACTGCTCCTTACATAATCCCCGGTCTCTCTCTAGATTTTAGCCAAGTTGAAGCCAAAACATCTGAAGGTCATCGGCTCCATGGCCATGGTGAGGAACAGTGTCGGTGCAGGTCAGTGTAATATGCTTTTTATTTATTTTTTTTCTCCTTCATCATAACTGTTCCTCTTTACATTTCTCTGTTGGATCTGTGTTACAGTACCTCCTCAAGCGTTTTTTCCCAGACTGCTACGTGGCCGACGAACTGCTGGTTTCCCGTGCGGGTCGCAGAGTGAGAGTGGGAAACACAGATGCTGAGGGACGTATGGTGATGGTCGACCTGCTCTGTGAGATGAAGGAGAAGGTGACCTAACATCTTGTCATTAATACTTCTTAACTAATTTGTGCACCTGAATGTCTCGTCTGCACTTCTGTCCCTTCTCCTTCTCATGATCTCAGCATCTGTGTCTGCAGGCAGTACGTGAGACTTCTCCTCAACTGTTTACTATTGCGACTCTGACTGGTCACGCCATCAGAGCCATGGGACCAGAGTACTCTGTGAGTGCTGCTGTAACACAGACAATACTGAGAGATGGTGCTACTTAAACATTAAAAATGAAAAATTTGCGCTGAGTTCAGTTCTGAATCTCTCTTCTTAGATCATCATGGATAACGGACCGGCCAACCGCAGCAACAATGCTGCTCAGTGGCAGAAAGGTGAGACATTTAGTACAGATAAATTTGAAGTTCACTTTTAAACACAGGATTTTGACAAAATATTCTTAATTCTAGTACCACTTGCTAGGTTTTCCGAGGGCTTTCAACTGTAGCCATGAGATGCAGTTAAAAGTCCCAGAAAAAGTAGTTATGTGTGCTGCTTAAATCTGAACTGGAACTGAATAATAATTTAATCCATTAATTGTTTTGTTTTTTTATTCTAAGATTTCTTAGTATTTCTATTTTTAACAAAATGTTTAATTGATGATTAAACATTTGTTATTTCTTCCACAATGCAAACAGTTGCATGCTTTTCTGTTTAATTTATAAACTAAATATGTTTTATTGGTCAGGACAAACCAGCCGCAGCGATTAATCGATTAGTTGTCAACTATTTCAACAGAAACTACACTGAACAAAATTATAAACGCAACACTATTGTTTTTGCCCCCATTCATCATGAGCTGAACTCAAAGATTTTCTCGATGCACACATAAGGCCTATTTCTCTCAAATATTGTTCACAAATCTTTTAAAATCTGTGTTGGTGAGCACTTCTCCTTTGCCTTCTCCTTTAATCCATCCACCTCAGAGGTGTGACATATCAGGATGCTGATCAGACAGCATGGGTATTGCACAGGTGTGCCTTAGGCTGGCCACAATAAAAGGCCACTTGGAAATGTTTATTTCAACCAGTTTGAATATTACTTGCATAAACATTTTATTTTTTGTGTGTCTCTTGTTTACCACACCAGCAAATCTGAAGTGTTCTTCTAAAATCAACTTAATGAATTAATTGTGTAGAATCTAATCAGTCTAACGATGTGTAGCATGTCCACATATTTGTATGTGCTCAGAAGTAGCTCAAGCAGGTGACCTGGTGGGCTTCAAGAACTTTTATAAAAAACAGACCAGGCGTCTAAATGACACCTGAGTTTATTTGTCAAAACGTCTAGTACGTGTTTTATGGTACTTCTATTTAATAAGTGGTCAGTTCTTTGAATATAACCATTATTTAAAAAAATATAAAAGACAGCCCCCGTGTCCGCGTGGGTTCTTCCCTGGGTGCTCTGGCTTCCTCCCACCATCCAAAGACATGCGGACTAGGTTGATTGGTGATCCTAAATTGTCCTTAGGTGTGAGCGTGAGTGGTTGTTCGTCTATGTGTGGCCCTGCGATGGACTGGCTACCTGTCCAGGGTGTACCCCGCCTTGCGCCCGATGTCAGCTGGGATTGGCTCCAGCCCCCCCGCGACCCTGTACACAGGATCAGCGGTTGACGATGGATGGATGGACGGATGGTTAAAAGACAGCAGGTCATTTATCACGGAGTCATCCTGCTCTTGGATTCAATCCTTCCTTACAAATGCAATATCACGTATTGCAATGAACCAACGTAACGAAACAACAAACCATCTCCAGTACAATTACTTCAGTGGTTTGAGTGCCTTATTTCCGCGATCACTAGCTAACGCATGGTCTTGGTCCTCTCTCATGCAGCTGGAGACGTGTTGGGTGACATGTTCGAGGTGTCCAGTATCAGACGAGAGGACTACGAGTTCCACAAGGGAAAGTCTGAGTACGAGGATATTCTGCAGTGCAACAACCTGCCGTCCTCGGCTACACCTCGAGGACATCAGACCCCTGCAGCTTTCCTCATCATGGCCTCGGGGCTTGACAAGGTGCTCATACGTTGTCATAACGTATTATCTTTTCTGCATGAAAAATATAATATGAAAGAGGTGCAATGATAACTTGTATTATGTTGTTTCCAACGCAGCATGGTGTGGATTCTGCCAAACCTTTGCCGTACTCCCACATTGACATCGCTGGGTCCAGTGGTCCTTTCCCCGGCATCCCAACAGGAGCCCCCATCCTGGCCATGGCAACAAACTACATCCTGTCTGATAGTCTCTAAACAGATACCCCCAGTGTGAAAAGACGACTGTCTTTGCACTCAATCCCAACACAAATTTGTAACCGTCCAAATATAAATGAAATCCCTGCCACATAATACAAAATGTGTCCTGTTTCATGTCTGACATTCCTTTACACTTCAGATTGCTTTTCTGCAATGCAAGAATGCTCTTTTCTAAGATGTTGTGTCGTGCGTCCTGTCTGCGCCAAGTGTCAGATGACCCTGCTCTTAAGTGGTCTCAATCAGTTTACACTCAGGGGTTAAATGGCAGTAAAAAAACATCCTTTTTGTGTCTGTATGAGTGCGACAACCAGGGGACATGGATGTGTGATTAGCGATGCTGTGAGTCAAACCAAGCACTCCTTTATTGATCAATAAAAAGTTGAAAATTCTTGTTGAAAATTAAAAAGTCACTGTTCTTTGCGTAGAATTATTTTTGTGCAGGTTTGCATGTTACACAGGTTATCACAGGGGCCATGATAGGAAGGGAAAAAATCTTAAAAGACTTATCAGCCTGCACATGTTCTTGCCTCACAAGGAAAAACACAGATACATTGAAAAGGGTAGATTTATTTGTTGTAAAGTGAAATTGACTTTGTAACTCCCTTCTGCTACATAGCAGACAATATACATTAATATAAAAGCAATTATACAAATAGTAAAAAGAAAAAACTATATTCAGTGGAGCAATATGGAATATGAATTTGAGAAGCAGCAGGGTGAACAGGCTGTGGCTGGGTGGGTACTGTCCTTTAGTATCCTTTGGGCTCTGCGTAGGCACCTCACCTCACCGATATCACTGATGCTCGGGAGATGGGTACCAATGATGATCTGAGCAGTTTTAATCACCCGCTGCAGAGCCCTCCGGTCCTGGGCCGTGCACATCCCATGCCAGTTTGTGATGTTTCCAGTCAGGATGCTTTCTATTGCTCCTCTGTAAAAGCTGCGTTTCTAAGCTTTCTTCACCAGTGTGGGGATGTGAGATGACCACGCCAGGTTCTCTGTGAGAACCTGCTCCACCTCAACTTTACTGATGTAGACAGGAGTGTTTGGGATTTTGACAACTGTTCAAAAAAAGGTTAGCTTCCATCTTATTCCAGTATCTGCTTTTTGAGTGTAGATTTATATATATATAGCATATTAAGTTTAACTTAAACACATGAATTGGGTCCTTTTATGATTTATAATTGTATTTATTTATTGTGTTACGGTTTTTAATCCACTGCCTATTACTCTTTTGTCCATCGTAGTATTTCTCACTGTATTGTTAGGTTTTCTGTGTTGTCCACAATTTGCAGTTTGCCCTCTCCAATATGGCCAAATCAGAGTCCGCTTCTTCTAGAGGTTGAAAAGAACCGAGAAGGAAACGGAAATGACGCAAAGACGCCGAGTCATTAAAACCGGACGTTAGCGCGCGCTTGCAGCTCAAACCTTCCCTCTGCAGTGAGAGTGGTGTCTGCGTGCTGCACTTCTGCTAGCTAACAACACAAAGACTGAACTCTTAGAAGAGTCTTTCTCTCTCCTACTCGGTAATAACTCAAACTACAGCCTCCTTTTTAACGGAGTGACACTCCAGAGCTCTTACTTTGAATCTACGCAGGCTTAAATCTCCACAGCAACCATGTTTGAGGCTCGTCTGGTCCAGGGATCCATCCTGAAGAAGGTGCTGGAGGCTCTGAAGGACCTGATCACAGAGGCCTGCTGGGACGTCAGCTCGTCCGGGATCTCCCTGCAGAGCATGGACTCCTCTCACGTCTCCCTGGTCCAGCTCACCCTACGGCACGACGGCTTCGACTCGTACCGCTGCGACAGAAACCTCGCCATGGGAGTCAACCTCAGTAGGTGGGGTAAACGCTACACACAGCTCTCTTAGAAAACATTTCATGTTTAATACTAATCAATACACATTTCACGCCGAATATTAAATCAATCGGCTGCGGTGTTTGGATAAATGAAGCATCTGCTGACTAATGACAGGTGGAGGTGCCAAAGTTTGGCGATACTAAAATCAATGTAAAAGTATTGGCGGTTTGGTCTGTCTCTGTCTAACGTTAACGTTCAAACTGTCAGTTAAATAACATTGTTTTGTCAGTATCCGTGTGTTTTGAATAATTAAACTTTAGAAAAAGGGTGGCCATCTTGGCGCTTTTTGCCCGGGCATGCCTTTCTGTTGAACTACTTTAGTTAACTCTTTACTGCTCACGTGCAGCTGTCTGCATATATGTGTGTTGTTTATAAATAGGTTTATTTTTATATAAATTTTTTTGTGCTGAAAGCACATCTGGCGCAGTTTGAAGGGACAACAGCCACTCCGTGATGACGTAGCGACGTCATTTGAGCGCCAAATTCTGCAAAGGGAAGGTTGGCGGGAATTTGTAGTTGAACCCGGGAACTTCCACTTCCGTTTCACTGCTCCTTCTTTGTGACGTAACACCGGTGCTCTGGAAGATTTAAGTTTTCAGCTACGATAATGTCCCTTAATGTGTTTGACTTAATTCCTATGTCTTAACGCATGTTTTAGCAACGTATATAATGGTTTGGTTTACCTTAATGCACTAACGTTACTTACAAAGGTATGAGCACAACACGTTTATAAATCGGTATTAAATGTTTATATAAACAACTATCATTTTTTTCATGTTTTAATATAAACTTAGTATAGCTTGAAGGGACTACAAATTTTCGTTTAGTCATACAACCTTGTGCTGTATGATGAATGAATAACCATTTTCCTCCTTTTATATAACTGGGGTCTAATGAAGGACTGACAACAAACAGCAACTGTTTTGATTTAAATATAGATCGTTTTAAGTAATTTTTCTTAAGCAAAAGTGCAGAAAAGTCACTGGTCCTGATGTCACATGTGGTTTTTTTTAGTCCTCTCATAGTAAATCAGACATCTGTGGTTTTAATTAGGGCTGCAACTAACGATGATTTTTGTTATTGATAAATCTGTCGATCACTTTCATGATTAATTGATATTGATTGAGTTGTTTGTCTGTAAAGTGTCAGAAAGTGGTGAAAAATGTCAGACGAGCAAAGAAACCAGAAAATATTCATTTAGGAAGCTGAAATCGGAACATTTTTTCTGATTAATTAAATGAATCGATATAAAAATAGTTGGTGATTAATTTAATAGTTGACAGCTTATACCACTAATAGTTGCAGATCTTGTTTTAAGGACATGTCTGCTTTTGAACTTATTCACATTTATATATTTTCATATACCTATTATGAAAATAATCGCCATAAAATATTAGAACTAAAACTTTTTAAAATAGTTGTTCATCACATTTTAGTGCGTTGAAAAATATTTAATTTAAGTTGGGAGTTTTATTCTTCTGACGTTACAAAATCAGCTGCCAGGACTTCTCTCGTTTTTACTTATTGATAGTTCGTTACACGTTTTGACCAGTTTCTTCTCCATGTTGTTCTCTTTACAGTATGTCAAAGATCCTGAAGTGTGCAGGAAACGAAGACATCATCACACTCAGAGCAGAAGACAATGCAGACACACTCGCACTTGTGTTTGAGACGATCAGTACGTTTCTGACTTTAAGTTACTGGCATTGTTTATATATTTCTTATTGAGCATTAATGTCTTATTTAGCTCTTCTTTTCTTGCTCTTACAGACCAGGAGAAGGTCTCAGATTATGAGATGAAATTGATGGACCTGGATGTGGAGCAGCTCGGTATTCCAGTAAGTCATTTGTGGCGTGTCCTTGTCTTTTAGGTCCAACACAATACTGTTCATGCACACTGTTCCTGACTTTTCCCCGTCTCTGCCACTGTCTATCCCTCCAGGAGCAGGAGTACAGCTGCGTGGTGAAGATGCCCTCTGGGGAGTTTGCCCGTATCTGCCGTGACCTTTCCCAGATCGGTGACGCCGTCATGATCTCCTGCGCCAAGGACGGAGTCAAGTTCTCCGCCACAGGAGAGCTGGGCACAGGAAATGTCAAGCTGTCCCAGACCAGCAATGTAGACAAAGAGGACGAGGCGGTGGGTGTTGATGTTTGATGGCGCTTCAGAATAACAGCAGAGTCAGACGATAAATCTGTGGGCTAACGTCGGCTTATAGTTCTTTTAATTCTAATTATAGGTGACTGATTAAAACTAAAGAATAAATATTTATTGCTGGTTTAATGTTTGTTTGTCCCCAGAAGCATGAAGAGCTTTTACTTTACTAGGACCAATTAATCTGCAACTGTTAATTGTTTAATGCATTTTTGGAGCAAAATGCAAATCATTCATTAGTTCAAGCTTCTCGCTTAGTGAAGATTTGTTCCTTTTCTTTGTCGTACGTGTACAATCTTAACATGTTAATTGTTTTAACGGCAGGTAGTGAGACAATTCAAGATGTATTTGTAAAGACATATATTTGATGTTGTCATGGCTCTTGTTTTTGACAGTCCCCCTTCACTTTCCGTTTTTAGGTCACTATTGAGATGAATGAACCCGTCCAGCTGATCTTTGCCCTCAACTACCTGAACTTCTTCACCAAGGCCACACCGCTTTCCAAGACCGTAACCCTCAGCATGTCCGCTGATATCCCCCTTGGTAAGTTTGTCCTTCCTTTTTATTAAAGACTCAAGTCTTCATTTGGATTCTTGTTTGCAGACGTCACCGTGGCCCTAACTTTACTTTTGTCTCTACAGTGGTGGAGTACAAGATTGCTGATATGGGACACGTCAAATACTACTTGGCACCGAAGATCGATGAAGAGGCTTCCTAAGTTTTATTATCTGCCCCAAAAGGGAGAATAGAGAAAAGCAGGCGACTAGGACTTGTCCTGAGTGATTAAAGGGCTGAAGTGATGTCATGGTGGTCGTTGATCACTGTCTGTCGTTTCTGATGTCCTCCTGTCTAATGCGACTCACAGCAGGAGGTCTAGTGTCAACTTTAATTAAGTCAGCCGTATGAATGATGCCATCTGTGCGATGTGATAAAGTGTCAGTACTTCGACTCGTGACTGTGTTCGGAGCGGCTGGCTGCGGTCCAGACAGCCCCGGTGTAAATTTCAGCACTTGGTCACCCCACTTTTGTGTCTTTCTCTCTATTTTTGCCCATTTTTGGTAAAGCAGATTTCAAGTATCCCATTCCTCCTTGTAGATAATGCATTTGTAAATAATTCCTGTGGTTTCATACTGTCAGCCAACCTCCAAATGTTTTTGTATTCATTGATTCAGTCCAAAATAAATGATTCAGGTTGTTACCAACATCCTTTTGTGTGTCTGACATTTGTGGGCAAAAGCTAGTTTTAGACTAAAGAGTTCAATGTGCTTCTCTTTGGAAATCTTTTTTTTTTTTTTTTTTTTTTTTTTTTTATACATCTCAGTCGACCATCTTATTCAGTTGCTGCTGCTAATAGTCTTTGATCATATGTAAAACCC